CTTCAATGATGGAAGGCCTAGAGGGGGTGATAATGACTCTATCAACTCTCGTATAGTGAGTCAGGTGGAGTCAGTATTGTCTGAAAATCTGAAGACCATCGCCCCTACTAATGCTAAGAAGGCCCAAATTCGTTTGAATATGGGTTATCGTATGCCACGGTATGGATACTTGAAGTCCTTCTGGTTACTGCCTCCTCAGTGGCAGAAGGAGAGACCTGCTGACTTACCTATTGGTTCTGATGATTTGGCTATTAATGAAGCTCAATTAGAGTTTGTTAAGCACCGAGTGACTCAGGCCTCTGAGAAGCTGGTGAGCCAGATCAAGAAGCTCCAAGGAGGGCCTTATCAGGGTGCAAGTGATTCGAGATCTTGGCATGAAGTACAACGCGAGATTGTAGACAATTTGAATCGCTCCTCTTTGACAATTGCGAGGATTCATTTGTTGTATCTCACTGATTGTGTGAGCCCTATTATTAGCCAGAGAATTAGGAGAAGACTGGGTACTGACTCTTGGTTTGACGCTAACCCTGTGGATCTCTTGCTGGCTATGTGGAATATTCTGGACGAGTTGTTTCGTTCAGAGTCTACACCTGAAACTCAATGTGATAAGATGCAGAATGTGAAGAAGTCCACTAATGAGACTCTACCGCAATTTATGTACAAGCTCCAGAACTTGTTTACTGGTGTCGAGATTGAGACTGGTCAAGAACTGGTTGATAGTACTAAGTTGACTCGTCTTCGTGGTGCGTTGCCTAAAGTGGACGTTCAGTTCCTAAGGGAGAAATTCCCTACTAACCTAACTTATGATCAGTTGGTTACGAGAGTTAATGAGTATTTCTCTAGTGCCATGGATCGTGAGTGTTATGAGAGGTTTGTTAAACAGTATAGGATGTTGAACGCCCCCGAGAAAGTTGATGGCTATGCTCACAACGACTTGAAGACGGTGGATACTGTGGTGGACGCTATGGAAGAAGCGCCTTCCGTTCAGGAGGGCAAATCTTCCAAGCGTGGAAAGAAGCCCAAGAAAGCTACCAAGAATGTCGTGGCCAATGAAGCGACGGCTAATTTTGGTGGCTCTGTGGGCT